ACACGGAACAAATGTCAAAAACAAAATTAGTAGATTTTATAATCACCTTTATGGATGAAATTGATAAGGAAATATCTGAAATGCGTTTAGCAGTCAATTCACGTGCTCGTCAGTGTGCTGAAGAATTTTTGAAGGCGTTTGATTAATGCATGCATGCTTGCCTTTTTAGGATTAATATTTTCCCTTCAATGGTATTTGTTAATTATTTTTTGCGAAAGTGAAGTTAATTTTATATATATATATATATATATATATATATATATATATATATGCGACACATCTTTTCTAACCTAATCTTTTAATCGATAATGACTTATTATTAATAATAAAGTATTTTTTTGCTTATGTCTCGTTCTTCTACATATCACAATGCATGACTTCATCACATATCGTATATTCCTAGGAACAATTGGTTTTATTTTGATTTTTTTGTTAATTTGAAATGAAAGTATTAAATAGTCTGACGTATCACATTAATGGAGACTAACTTGTTAATCGGCCGCGAGGGATTCAACCTCCGCTTTCTCCTTGCGGATAAAAGCTTCTTCAAGTTTGTTGATTAAACTCAATCAGTGGAAGAGTGGCACAGCGGTTAGGACGCTCGCCGACCATGCACTTGGTCCAGGGTTAGATCCTCGGTCGACGCACTCCTCTACTTCGCTAAGCTAGAATTAATGCTGATAAGGCCGAAAGGTCGGGCGTAAGGCTAGCAACCCCATCCTGTAAAATTAAACATCTCTACAGAAACTTCAAGCCACTAGATTGAGGCCCTATGTTCCACTGGGAACGTGAAGGAAAAAAAAGTGGAAGAGTTTACCTTTGTATTCATTTCTGGGACGATTCGTCTATTCAAAATGTGACTACAAGTGTATTTGTGCGTGTGTGTGTGTGTTTGTAAGGTTTCATTTCAGAATCGAAACTTACTGAATTTATTGCTTCATAGGGTTTAGTACACTGTATAGTTCACTAAGACAATCTCGACAGTTGAACACACTCATTCTGTTTTGGAAATCTTTGTTTCGACTAAGATTATACTTTCAATTTATTCACTTTAGCCTGTTATGATGTAAAAATCCTAAGTGATTAAAGTTCGTATTTCTGATAATTGCAGTATGTTCCTTCGTAATTGTTGAGTAACACTTGACACAAAGAAGTGTATGTACCTACATTCAGGTGTAAGGATAGTGCCGCAAACTATTTCTCTTCTAAAAACTTCATGGAATTCTTCCCATTAATAAACTTGAACAAAGCAAGGACAACAATTGTATCAGGATAATACGAGCTCATTTCTATTCTGCTAAATAAATTTATTGGGTGTTTCAATTAGGTGGATTGTTAACACTTCTTTTGTTGTTTGTCAGCGGATATCTTGCATATATAACGTGTCATACTTTTATGAACGAGGGCTACTTAGCGTTTACCTCCTGGAATTGGTAGGACAGTGAATTAGTTTTCAAAAGTTAGTTTGTGGCGATTTAATTTATTTAAAGTTTGACCACCGATTAATAACAGATTTTAGAGAACCAGGGAGTACTGGACAACTGTTTCGTCCAGGTATGGGATTCATTGGCAGCCAATGACACTGGCTGGTGTTCTCACTAAAACCATAGATTAGCAGAAGATAGAATTCAGGGATCATTGAGTCGGGTCCCAGTGTTTGAATTGTCTATGAGGCTTGCCTTGTGATGGGAAGGCCCTTGGGTTAAGTGCTGATCGGTGCTTGCTGTGAAAAGTCTCAAACTGGGGCGAAACAGTAGTGCGGTACTGTTTAGTTTTCCAATGGTTCTCCAATTGATATCAATCGCATTCAAACTTAAAGCATTTAATCTTACTGTAATGCGTTTTAGTCATTTCATCTGCATTTATCAGTGGAGGCATATTTTGGATGTTGTGTTTCGCATCAGGCTTCTAGGAATTCCGGCCTTTTTAGTATTTCCACTGTCTAAAATTTACCCAGTCGCACTAGTGTTACAATAAATAATGTACTAGTTAGTGTTTGGTTATTATTATTATTGTTCCCTTGGGTTCCTGGAGGAACATAGGGCTTCAACTGCACGTCTCCGCTTGCTTCTGCTGTACTTTTCACCTGCATCCATGTTAATCCATACTGTTTCAACTCCTCTTCACATGATCTTCTCCATGTCACCCTTGGACGTCCCACTGGCCGCTTCCCTTTCGGGTTCCACTCGAGCGATGGCCTGACGCGCAATGTCACCAACCGGCCTCCTCAGCGAGTGTCCAATCCATCTCCATTCACTTTCTCCTGCATATTTGTTGGTTGGCGATTGGTTCTTGTTCTGTTTGTTCCCAGCCATAGTTTCTTGTTGGTGATTCTTTCTGGCCCGCCATCTGATCTTCAGTATGGAGCGAAGACAGTTGTTGATAAAGGTCTGAGTTAGCCTGTTGGAAATATTCTTTGTGGCCCGCCAAGTTTCTGATCCGTATAGAACAACTGACTTGACGTTTGTATTGAAAATCCGATCGAATTTTGTTGTTGATGCTGAGTTGAGTGACGAAGATTTCCAGATTGGTTTCAGGTTGATGAATGTATTTCCCGCCTTCCCGATTCTCGCTCGATTTGACATCCTCGTCCGTTCCCACTTTCTGTAGTTAAGACGATTCTCCCTAGATATGTGAATCAAGTAACTTCTTTCAAATCCCTCCCGTTGACAGCAGTTGACGCTGGATGTTGTTGTTGTTTTTGGTTGGTTATTTTCATAACCTCCGTCTTGTCTATGTTCACATAGAGTCCTGTCTTCACTGTCTGCTTCTTCGACCAGTTTGTCGGTTTTCGCTTGTAAGTCTTCGATTTTGTGTGACATCAAGCATAAATCATCCGCGAAATCCAGGTCTTCTAGGCTCTTCACGTCGGTCCAGGATATCCCTGTCTTCTCGTTTCCCACTGTCTGACGCATAATCCAGTCCACCACAATTAGGAATACCATTGGTAATAATAAATAAGCACCCTTGTCTGACTCCTGCCTTAACTCCAAACGCCCCGCTGAGTTTTCCTTTGTGGATCACTTGACATGTGCCGTTGTCGTACAGCTGTTGAATAAGGTTGATGAATATTTGGGGTACGCCGTAGTACTCGATTAGTTTCCAAATTACTTCACGGTCAACGCTGTCGAAAGCCTTCTCGAAGTCTATAAAGGTGAGGTAGAGTTTTGATTGACATTCCATGCTTTGTTCTGTGATGATAATGCGTAAAGTTGCAAAAATTTGGTCAGAACATGATTTGCATTCCCTGAATCCACCTTGTTCTGGTCGGAGTTCTGCATCCAGTGCGTCCTTTATTCTCTCCAGGCTGATGCGACTCAGGATTTTACTTGGCGTCGACAGGAGCATGATTCCTCCCCAGTTCTTGCAGAGTAAAACCTAAGTAGCCCTTCTTTGGTAGTTTCACGAGGTAACTTTCCTCCAGTCAGTGGGCACCTTTCCCTCCTTCCAGACCTTTTGCAATAATGGAGTCAGCATGTCTGCTGTAGTCTCTTGGTCCGCTTTCAGTGCTTCAGGGTGTATTCCATCTGGTCCGGCTGCTTTTCCAGCTTTCAGAAGCTTGATTGCACTCAAGAGTTCAGCTTTCGTTGGAGAATTGGTGTCAACTTGCATTTGTGTACGTGCTGTTGTTGGTATTTCTGGACGGGTTGCAGGTGGTGGTCGGTTCAGGAGTCCTTTGAAGTGGTCCACCCATTGTTTAGTCTGTTTTTCTTCCTTGGTAATTGGGTTCCCTTGGCTGTCTTTCATAGGTTTCACTTGTGTTGATCTCTTCCCGGATAGAGACTTGGTTATCTGATATAGTGTCCTCAGGTCCCTTTTGCCTGCTGCCTTCTTAGCTTCAGTGGTCAGGTTGTCGTAGAATTGTCTTTTGTCCTTCCTAGCACTCTTCTTCACTTCTTTGTCCAGTGCTGTGTAAGTTGAGCTCAGCGTCTCCTTCTCCTGTCCGTCCTTGCACTGAATCATTTTCTCTTTCACCATTCTCCTCTCCTCTATTAGCTTCCAAGTGTCCATTGAGAGCCATTTTTGTCTCGCCTTTTCTTCCTTCCTAAAACCGCTGAACACATTTTGTTGAAAATCACCTTCAGAGAGTTTCGGTGGTCTTCCACGCCTGGTTCTCCAGTGATGTCGCGTAATGTTTCCTGTTTTGCTCTGACATTTGCAGTGAAAGTGTCCTTTGTGGTTGCGTCCTTCACTAATTGAGTGTTGAACTTGCATTGTGGCCTATCCCCAGCTATCCTCAAGGCTTTTAGCTTCACCTTGAAAGTCCCTTGTACTAGATAGTGGTCCGAACCCATATCTGCTCCTCTCCTCGACCTTGTGTCCAGTAGGCTCCGTCTCCACTTTCTTGACATTGAAATGAAGTCTATCTGGTTTTTGGTGTCGCCATCTGGTGAAATCCATGTCGCTTTGTGTATATCCTTGTGTTTGAACACACTGCCACCAATCACCAAATCATTGAAGGCGCAGAAGTCTGAGAAGAGTTCACCACTGTCGTTCATTTCGCCGAGGGCCTCACGACCCATGGTGAGTTCTCTTCCTGTGTTGTCTCGTCCCAGCTTCGCATTCATGTCGCCCATCAGGATTTTGATATCGCCATATGGGGGCGTTGTCCATTGTTGTTTGTGGCTGTCTGTAGAACGCCTCTTTCTTCTCTTGTTCTGAGACGTTTGTAAGCGCATAGCATTGGATGGTTGTCACCTTCGTTCTTTTTGAGTTGAACCTGGCCGTCATTATCCTGGAGGAGACTGGTTCCCACTGCATGAAAGCTTTGGTTGCTGCTGGTGACACCATCATGGCCACTCCCACGGTGTGCTCGTGGTTGTCCTCTAGGTGGCCGGAATAGATTACTGTCTCTCCAGTAGGTAGTTGGCACCTACCACACCCGTTCCATCTGCTTTCGCAGATTCCCAGCACTTCTCTTCTATATCTCCTCATTTCTGCTGCTACCTGGGCAGCCTTTCCAGTTTCGTAAATTGTACGAACATTCCAGGTACCCATCCTTATTTTTGCTTTCATCGAAAGAAGGCACATCGGCTGACTGGCTTCCCGAAGTCTTTCACCAGCCTGTGTCATTTTACTTCCCCGATTCCAGAGAAAAATAAGGCTACTGTTTATATTTTTAGAATTTTTAATGTATTTGTGCGTTGAAGTTTCTGTAGCGGTTTGATTGAGTTTTGGGGGTGGAGTTGTTAGCACCACGTCCCAAACCTCCATTTTATCTGGGCTTGGGACCGGCTAGTGTTAAGTTTAGACCAATTGCCATTACCTCTCCTTTCTTGAAACTGATGGAGAAATTACTTTACAAAAACTCATTCCCTCCCTAAGCTTCTCAAATGATCCAAAGCAGTTTGCTTATAAACAGGGTAGAAGTACTTTGGATGCTGCTGCTGTTTTCATCACAACATTGTATCCTCCTTAGACAAAGGGGCCAAGTATGTCCGTTGTACTTTCCTTGATTACACATCTGCTTTTGACTCTGTACCTAGAGGCCTTTTGTTAAACAAGCTTAGCCTTACACAAACTGAGTCCTGGGCTATCAACTGGCTGCACTCTTACTTCTCCAATAGGATGCAGTACACGGTATATAATGGTGTAGCTTCCTCTCCTTTGCTTACTGAAGCTGGTGTTCCTCAGGGTGCTGTTCTCTCGCCGTTTCTCTTTTCCTTCTTCTTACATGACTTACCTCTCTCAGACGAAATCAACTTCGTCAAATATGCAGATGACCTGACTGTTTCGCTTCCCGTTAAGTCTCAGTCAGACTGCTTCAAATTAAATAGCTTCCTGTCGGACATCAGTCAGTGGTCTAAAATAAATGGCCTAACGCTGAATCCCTCAAAATGCCAGACTGTCGACTTCTCCTTTAGGCATAAACGAGATCTACAAACACTAGTAAGCACTCATGATGTCTGTAGAATCGAGGGGACTATAATTGAAACAAAGTCTAATGCAAAATACCTCGGATTAGTTATATCTTCCGACCTTACTTGGTCATCTCATATCCAAATGATTTCCAAGAAAGTGTTTCGTCTAACCTACTACATTAAGAAACTCAGACTAACTGGAGTCCCTCAACCTCTGCTTACACAATTTGTCAACTCTCGTATCCTACCTATTCTACTTTACTGTTCCCCGTTAGTCTTTCCTGGGTTACTGAAAAAGGATTATACCATCCTGAGAAGGATGTTGAAGGTAGTTAGCAGGACTAGCGGTGTAAAACTCAGTCAGCTCGTCACAACATTAGTGGATAAGCATCTGAATACATGTGAGAAATGGTCTAAAACCATACTCTCTGACCCCCAACACCCCCTCTATTCCCAACTCTCTCCTTGCATCTCATCAGGTAGAACCAGAAATCAGTACAAAATAATATATGCTCGCACAACCAAGTATAGGAACTCAACGATACCATATTTGGCCCGTGTTCTAAGTGACAGAGACAATGTTAAGCGTGAAACCTATGACTTGCTTTGTTGTTAATAACATAATTTTGGCCCTTGTTATTTCCCCCTTACACTCTCTTATTTGTACTCTATAGTGAACAACCTTCTTAAACATACTTAGCTGCTTAAAATTATTATCATTGGCTTACATTTTTATTCTTTATTCTATTCCTTCTTTGTACATCTACTGGGTCCGACTATATTATCACTATGATTATTAAAAATTGTCCCGTCATTAACCATCATGTAACATTAGTTTTGTGGTTGTTCTTTGTTCGGCACTATTTAACTGACAATCTTGTTTGTTATTGCCACTATCACCATCTTAAAAATTTTGTATCATGCATGATTCCTCACACTGCCACTACAAACAACCGCATTAGTACTGACAAAAAAGAAAACAAACCTGAAATGTTTATCTTATGATTGCTTAGTGTTGTTCAATCAAATTAACTGATCATCTTGGCCATAAACATTTTTTTTTTTTTTTTTTTAAGAACATCTCATAATTTCGCGTATGATTATAGCTGTTACTGTTCACCACGCATAAACATATCGTAGCTTCCACTAACTAATACTGAAATATTTTTTTTTCATTATTTGTGTTGATCTTCTTCTTTTTTTTTTACTCAATATTTTTATTTGCAATTTTTTTTTTGGTTATTTCTGTTTCTTTTGTTTGGTTTTTATAATACTCCTTTTAAATGTACGATGAAATTAAATGCAATATTGTAGATATGTGCTGAAAATTCCACACTGTACCACAAGTACTGTTTCTGGAATAAAGCGAAATCGTTATGTTATGTTATGTTATGTTAGAAAACTAGCAAGCTAGTAGTCTAGGCAAGGCTAGAAAACTACCGAGCTAGTAATCAGGTGAGGTTAGTGTGTGATTATGTTGTTACTAAATCATACTTGTATTGGTTGTTAGTCATTTTTTAGTCTATGAGGAGACAATTATTGTGACTACCACAATTGGGTCACCTTGGTTAACTTGCTCTTTGGGATCTTGGAGTACATAGGCAAAGAAGTCTAAGTTGAGCTCAGGAGAAACATTTTTAGATAGTTTGGCCAAGTTGTAGGTATTGACCAGGTGATAAGACCACATTTTCATCCCTCCACAGTTTCTGGAACCAGTGCATAATTACTGGTCTGTATCAGAAAGTTTCGTGTCAATGTAGTTGAAGATTGAACGATCAATTCATAGTTGTTTGCTCAAAACCAACTTCCCCAATTTTCGCGGAGGCGTCAATACGACAGTCATCGTCTCATCGGTCGCTGTTCAGAAAGAAGTCAGCAGTAAACCGTCAGAAGTAATATTGTGATTTATTATTGTATTATTTGTTCACAGACCTTAGTGGAAACATTGTTTACATGTTGGTGTTACAATAAAGAATCCTGGAATGGCCAATCGGTGTTTTGGTTTCTGCGTCCGTTATTACTAAGCGTTTCTGAGAAACTTCAAGGAACAGCGTGAGTCCCAGCGTAGCAAGACCTGGGGATTGACGGTTTACGAGACGTGGCTGACATTTCGTTTGACCTTATCGACGAGGTGCCATTGTAACACCGTCTGATTTTGAGAGGGTTGCCGCCAATATTCACCATGTCACTGTTATGTAGACCACGCAGCTGTGCAGATATGCCGTCTAAAGGAACTACAAACAGTCCTTTTCGCTCTCGCTGTTTCTGTTTAATCTTCTAAACTTACTACTGATGTGAATTTCTCATGAAGGCGGTCAAAAATGCTGACTATTTGGGTACATTGGAGTGTATTTGGTGTTACTACGACATCCGACTACTTATTATTTAGTGTGTATACTGTACAGCTGCTTGTCCAGTTTTGCATTACTTCACTATTTCCGTTGAACTGGGTTTTTAAAGTTGTCCATTTACATGGATGCGAAGAAGTATATCTCATATCATTTGGCTTATACTTAATGTTATTGGGTGTGAACGCAAAGGGTTTTTCAAAGTTTATGCAATTTTTCCTACATATGGTGTTAATTTCATTGGCTCTTGTTAGTGGATATTTCAAACTGGACACTCATAGATTGGAAGATGAAGCTACAAAATGATGTCTTCACAGGGCTTATCAGGAAAATACCCGAGGCATCAAGCAACATCAAAGATGAAATCTGGAAAACTACTGGAATTTTAATGGTCATCTGGGAATAAACTTGTATATATATCTTAGGCAGCTAAGGAGAGAAAACGAAAGAAAGAGATCTCTACGAATACGTAAAGGTGTTAGAGAAGAGGAGGGTTGAGTTGCAGAAGATGAAGCAATGCAGAGATAAAAACGCCAATCGAAAAGCCGACAAAACCTACAGAAAAGTAAACAAATGAGTAGAGAGTATTGTTAGAATAGACGCAAGACATTCTTTTGACGTTGGAAAATAAAGGATATTGGCCTGATTGTGTCTACCAAAGACAACAAGAAGGAATACCAAATGACCAGAAGTGCTACTCAGTAAAAGACAAAAAATTTGGAAGGCAGAGAAGAAAAACCCTTTATCAAAGGGGATGAAGACAGAAATCGCCATATAGATCAATTTAGAGGACTAGTAAATCGATCACCACCAGCAACACACTCAGAAATACTACCAGTAGACACAGAACTGTTGGTGAACGCCAGTATATGCAGAAGTCTTGAGGGCCATATTATTATTGTAGCGGTAAATAATTCCCCAAAATAATTGACCATAGGAATCATCAGTGAATATTGGATGCTGACCCTTAGTGTTTAAGTCGACTTGTTTAGCTGAAGGCTTCCGGCCAAGCGTCCTCGCCATTTGGCACTCCGTCGTGCACGACCACCACCCAGCTTAGCCTCCGCTTCAGTCCACGTTTTGGTCCCGAAATATATCTCGTAATTTGGACGATCAATTGTGTCTTTTGCTTTGCCTTTGGTCCACGAGAAACGAATACTATAGAAGTTGTCGGTATAAGATTTTGCGTTAGTATACCCCGTACAGTTCGGGAACGTCAATATCGTCAGCCTCTAAATTATTGTTGTTGTTGTTCCCTTAGGTTCCTAGTGGAACATAGGGCTTCAACTGCACTTCTCCACTTGCTTCTGTTTTCTGCTGTACTTTTCACATGCATCCATGTTAATCCATACTGTTTCAACTCCTCTTCACACGATCTTCTCCATATCACCCTTGTGCCGTAGAGTTGATGAAATCCGAGAGACAGGAGGAAACATGTTATAGGCATTAAGAATAGACCCAGAGATGCTAGGTAACACGCAAACTCAACCAATGCGTTTTCGTGTTGAGCGAGGGCAGGACGTCTGTGGATTAGGAGAAAGGTTACCTTTTGAAACCAACAGATAACATCGCCTATATGTACACTAGATGCGGAAGCACGCTTCTGTTCACACGAGGCAAAATGTCGGGGTGCCTTATCTTTAGAAACCAATAAGTGGTTTGGCCTAGGGCTGGCTGGATTCAGGAAGAATACTTCATGTACGGATTAGACCGCCAAACAGAGGAGATAGAGGCTATCAGCATATTGAAGCTACGAAATAAGCAACAACTACTTTCAAAGGGAGAAACTAAAGGGACAAGTGTGAAACTTTCAAAACTAATCGTAAGTCCGTGCTTCTATATGATCCCACTTATTTTTCACAGATCCAATGCTCTCCCACTCAATTCTGTCCTTGCAATCCTACTGGTTGTTAACTATTTCAGTTTGTCAATGTAATTAGTGCCTCTCGAGGTCATTTAAAGCATAATGTGTGTCAGTGGCACAGTGGTTAGGACCCTCGCCGACCATGCACATGGTCCGAGGTTCGATCCCCTACCGATGCACACCTGATATCTATGGCCGGTCTGCAAAACATGGGCTACCGATATCCATGTTCAAAATTCCATACTTGTTCCAAAAATACAGTGTGGAATCAAGCTGTAATCAAAAACAAATAAATATGCAAGCCCCTTTGATCATTTTCGCCATTGGTACGAGAAAGTAAAAGCCCTTCGCGTCAACAGTCAGGATTCGATTCCAGTCGTCTTGCGCCGCTTTTTCGGTGGTATCACACCGTGTTGTTATTTCCACTGATACTGCTAATAGTGGTTGAAACAACAGGTTCACGATTTGACTGGGCTGGAAATTCGTTAGCACAACTACCAAATGTACTGATGGTCCCATGAATGTTGAGCATTCTGAGTTATTTCATCTGGAAGTACCACATAAAAACAGTTTTGTATTGGTAAAGAAACATTGCCACGTAGTTTATCTTTGTTTGTGTGGTTACTTTTGAAAGACGATCTGAGCTACTCACAAATTTCCAGCGATCCTATGAAGAAGCTGCTGTTTCATAGATATGAACTTGGGACAACGGCTAATTTTTACTAATTCCTGATTTTATCAGTGTTCGTAAAGACAACACTTACGTATTTCGTCCTTCGATATCTAATCATACGAGAATGCACCTTGCAAAGGAATGAAGTTAACTTCATGAAATCTTCCCTCATCCTTCATTCTTCACCCCAAGAGTGCTAAAACTATTGCGCCTTCATCGTCTCCCCGAAGTTCTGAATAGGAGCATGAGGGATATTCGAGTAAGATGGGCACAACGTCATGAAATTCAACTTTCTTAATAACTGTCCCGATTCCATAAGTTCTGATGAGATTAAAAACATAGTATGTCAGTGTAGTTGAAGATTGAACGATCTTTTCATGGTTGTTTGCTCAAACCCAACTTTATATTTTTCGCGGGAGTCATCAAAATGGCAGTCATCATCTCATCGTTCGTTGTTCGTTGAAAGAGAGAAAAATATCAGAAACTTTGTGTACAATAACCTAATGGTTGGCTCTGTATTGGCGTAAGAATAAACGCTTCTTGAGTCAGTAATTTGTGTTCTGGTTCTTCGTGTTAGTCATAACGCAAAGTTTCTGTAAGTCTTCCAAGGACAGCGTGAGGTCCAGTGTTGTAGGACCTGGACAATGACAGTTTCCCATAGTTTCTGTTCGTCTTTCCTTGTGTCTGCCTGTCTTCTTTGGACAAGTGTTATCTGGAACTTTTCTTGATTGTTCGG